TATCTATCTATCTATCTATCTATCTATCTATCTATCTATCTATCTATCTATCTATGCCAGATTATAATCCCGCCGGAGAAAATGTTAGTTTACTTTTAGTGAGAGCATGACCGTAATAATAATACAAATGTGAGGCAGCGTGGTGGAATCAGGCTCTCGTCAAATAATCAAGGTGAAGAAAGTTGCATTTTTTCGCAGGTTTGTGAATTTTTAAAATCAAATTTGGGTTTTTTGGCTCAACATTTTTCCTTCATATTACAAAACTAATTTATGTGGGGATTTCTCTGAAAAATGTTGATTAAAGCCACAATATAGGTAAATTTTCTGTTGCCATGGACTCTTAAGCTAAGTAAATAACTAATCTTTGGCTACCATTTTCTCACTAATTTTACCTCTGAAAACAGGGGACCCCCATCTCCATCTTTAACAAATATCTCGACTTGCATTCAAGATAAATGGATACATTTTTCATCCAAATAAAGACAAGTGCACAAGCTTGAAGGTGACACCAATAACTCTACATGCCCAAAAATTGACGAGTGCCTGATTCCACCACGCTGCCTAAGAAATAGATTACATAAATACCGAACATTAGAGATATTACTAGAGAGTAACAGACAAAGAAAAGACGGCAGAGAGATGACAGAACGATGATAGCAGATGTTTGACAGGAAATAAAGGAGCAAACCACAACAGAGCACACACCAACCATCCACCCGGGAAAGTTGAAAACAATTTTTAAAAATTGTAACGTAAGATAAATAACACAAAGGAGCCGACTTCAATAAGAACGACGTACTTCGTCATTGTTTTAAGTGGCGTAGGTCAACTTGAACAATTCGCGTACTGTTGAGTACAGAAATGCTTAAAGGACAAAATTGTAAGATAAATGGATTGTAAAATAACAACAACAACAACAACAACAACAACAACAAAAGACGAAAAGATACCTTTTTTTAAAAAAAATCCAACATCCCCCCCAAAAAAAACCCTGGGATTGTTTAATATTCTTGTAATTCATCGCAAAAAATTTTAATTCCCATTCATCGTCTGATCCAGACTCCCACTTCAGTGTGCATAATAATACAGACGCCATTTTAAAAAGACCCCCCC